ACAAGCAGAACTATTTGTTAAACATTCATTATTACTTTATAAGTATTATAAAGTCACCCTGGAGTATTTCTAATTATTATTATCTTTGTTATTTTCATATGATTAATTTTGTATTATGGTGTAAATTTTTTTTATAAAAATATGTAGCCGTAAGTTACAGAAAGATAAGAAAAATATACATCATAGTTATGAAAATTGTATATTATAAACTAACATATACATGTATATATATAATAATATATTATATATATATACATATATATATATATATATATATATATATATATATATATATATATATATATATATATATATATATATATATATATATATATAACTTGAAATATGTTTATAACCAATAAGTAAAGAAATTAGTCAACAAAATAAACAATAAACGAAGTATTTTCTTTATTTGATTTTACAAAAATTACTCTATAATATATAACAATATATATATTATATATATATATATATATATAAATATATATATATATATATATACATATATATATATATATATATATATATATATATATATATATATATATATATATATATATATATATATATATATATATATATATTAGGGCTGTACCAGATTTAATTTTTTCAAATACGGCCGGAGCTGGGTCTGCTGGATTTCTACTAACAAATCCGGCCGGAGCCGGATTTCTAAACAAAATTAAAGGAGCCAAAATCCTGCACATCCCTACTTGGTGTTAAGAGTGCTTAACATTGTTAACCACTCTCAATACCAAGATGTTACGTTGGTTTGACAAGACTCTAACTGAAAATTTGTATATTAGGAGAATTTGGAAAAAATCTTTTAATATCTTTTTAAAGTTCAATTAAAACTATTTATATAATTGTTTTTTTATTTATTTATAAATTCTTTTTTCGGTTGATGTATACAAATACAAAAATAAAAAATAGTTATGTAAATATTTTTATTTAAATATTAAAAAATAGAAAAAAAGATTTATTTACTATTCTCCTAATATAATAAAAAAATCAGTTAGAACTTTGTCAAACCAATGCAATGAAGTGACAACTGTTTTCTGTTAAACTTTGTTACTGTTATTAAAATATAAGGACACAATTTCAATTAACATAATATAACAAAACAATTGATAAACAATTGAAACTTTCGTTTTGAAAGTGAAGTAACTTCAGTTTAAGTAATTTTTCTAAAATGATCAATTTCAAATTTTACTTTAGAAATATTAAACAACCTGCATTATCTGGCAGGAGTGAACTACGATGATCATTGAGGATCTCCCTAGCAAAACTGAACAAACGTTCTGATGTGCACTTTTGGTTGGCACAACCAAATAAATGCGAGCTACTGTAGCTAGAGCTGGCGATTGTTTCATACCCTGGAAAAAAAGTTCCATAGAATTTTTATAAACTTTTAAAACATTTGGCCTAATGAAGTACTATAGAATTCAATAGAATTTCTATTAAATCTCTGTTATTTTCTTTAGAAATTCCTATATAACATTTTTTCTATAAAAAAAAAAGTTTTATAACTATTTCTATAGAAATTAATAGACATTCTATAGAAATTCTATTGAGTTTCTATAGGCCATATGTTACAAAAGTTTATAGAAATTCTATAGAATCTTTTTTCATGGGCGTTGTCACTCTGCCACTGCTGTGGACAGAGTGTCTATTTACTTCTGGTTCTTCCAGATATTGGCTTAGCTGAGTGTTAATGCCTTTTCATAATTGTTATTCATGTGCTGTGCCACCAGCGGACGTAGACTGAATAATTTTATCAATTCATTGCCAGAGTAATGATGATGATGTAGAAGAATTATCCAGCCGAGCTTGTTTTACTGGATTTTCTTCAGTCTGCTGCTCGGCATGCTCAGATTGACTTTAATCTTGATTTTTCAGCTGTCAGTGTTGCCTGTAATGATAAGAATTTAGTTTTAAATTGTGGATCAACTAGTGTCGCCACTGTATAAAGAGGATTATCTTCAATGCCTTTAAAATGCTCCTCCAATTACTTGAACAGGCTTGACTTCATAGTCTTTACACCTGCATTATTGTAGAATATGGTGTCTTCCCTAAAAATGTTTTTGTTGCAGTGTTGTTTAAAATTAGGCTTAGCTAATTAAATTGTAAAGGAATGTAAATATAGATTCAAAAAAACAACAACATGGAATTCATAAAATATAGAATTACAAAAAATATTGATTTGTTTAAATAAAAGATTAAGTAAACATATAAACATAGGCAAAAAGGATGTAATAAACGTCTGACCAAAAAGTCAGAAATTCAGCTAAAATTATGCACTTAATAAGTGCTTCAAATAACAGGCAAACAACAGTCAGCTGGATCTTATTAAAATCAACTACCTAAAATTATTGTTTTAAAATTATTATTGGATCCTTGGAGAGTCTTCAACGATGGCGGACGAATTTTTATAACGGAAAGGTAAAGGAAAAAAAAACGAAAAAAAAAATTATTCAAAAATTATAATAAATAAACAACAAATCTAATCAGTAAATAAAGTAAGAAATTAAAAAAAAAAGAAATAAAAATTAACGAAAAAAGAAGTAATAATAATTAAGTACATATAAATTAAAAAAACGTCGAAAAAAATCCAAATAAAAAGGAGAAGGAGAGAGTTTATGTCATACAAACTTTAAAAAGAATAGACAAAAAAAAATCGAATTTTTAATCACCTAAATTTAACTAAAAGAAAAGATAAAAAAAAGAAAAAAGAAAAGAAAAAGATAAGAAAAGGAAAAACAAAACAAACCAAAAAAAAGTGGAAGAGAAGAAAGAAAAGATCAAGTATTAGAAGATATTTTTGTTGCTAGCCTTTGTTGTAATTATCATTTTTTTATTTTATTTTAATTATTATTTGTATTAGATACTTATTTTATATTAGACTATTATTTATTCATTTTACTATTTCATAATATATATTTATATCATTCTTTAACAACTTAATTATTAGTTTATTTATTTAGCTACATTATTTTATATAATATATATTTAAATTATTACTCTATTATTAATTTACATTTCTGTTAAACTTTATTTAAGTTTAATTTTTTATTTATTTAAATCATATAATTTTTATTTATTTAAATCATGTAATTTTAATCAAAATTTTGTTTGATCATTGTGTTATTGTTAATAATATCCGAGTTAATATTACTTATTATAACTGTTTTTGTTTCAAGTTAATTTGCTATTCTTTCTAATAATCATACTATTATTGTTTGCTTTTTACGATTATTACTACCATAGCTACTATTTTTACTTCCTACATAATATCTCTTACATTCTTTATTCTATTGCAGAAATTACTCATTTTCATTGTTCTACAATAAATTTAAATTGCTATTTGTGTAAAAAAAAATAAGTCTAAGTTGCCGATCAATTCAATGTGAGAATTGTTCATTTTTGACTCTGGATTTAATTTGTTACAATTAGATTGCTCAATGCGACAATGTGTAAATTGTACTAAGAGTTTATTTCCATTCACAGATGTACCAGATAACGAACTTAAATCATTATTTTCTTCTAATAAAATTATTATAACTGACGATTTACTTCGGTCTACAAACATCTTTCCATCGTTACATTTGAATAAAATTTCTAACCAAATTAATGTCTATGTTTCATCTAGTGTTTTAGATTCCGATGAAGAAATCTATGCATCACTAGACATAACTTGTAAATATTATGACATAGACAAATTTTGTTCCCTGAAGTTTTACAAAATAAACACACTTTCTTTTTATCACCTAAACATTTCATTGCTGCAAAAACACTTTGAAGATTTGAACATATTTTTATCATTAATTAATTTTGAGTTTTCTATTATTGCTGTTACTGAAACAGGTTTAAAAAAGGAAATTCACTCAATTCATCCAATTCTCATTGATAACTACAACATTGAGCATACACCAACTGAATCCTTCAGTGGGGGTACATTGTTATACTT